TAAATGCCACAAAATTTACGAATTATTAAAGACTAAAAATTTGTCGTTTCAACAATTCGGCTGTGTTTTCTTTGAAGTACTCGTAGCAGTTCCATACCACTTAAAAACCAAAATGATACATATCTACACATAAATTTCTAAAATATTCCAAGCACATTGTTAACATATTTTTGCATGCCGAAACTATGCAAATACGCTTACTTCACCACTACTTTCTTTTTCGGCACTTTCAACATGTTTGCCGCCACAAAACCACCAACCACAAACCGCAATGCAACTACAAATATTCTATAACAAATAAAACAGTGAGAAAAATCATTTAACAATATGAAGTAAAACTTCGACGACCGAGTGAGGCTTAAAGTCTTTAAGAAACAATGGCACTAACACAAACACACACACAAACAGCCACGCAAAGCCACAAAACTGCTGCCGGCGCAAGAACACACACACAAACTTCTCGAGATGTGGTGTATGTATGCATGTTTAAGTATGTGTGTGTGTGTGTGTGTGTGTGTGTGTGTGTGTGTGTGTGTGTGGGAGGCGCAAAACATATAGCATAAAGTTGCCACATTGTGGCACACAAGCGTGCAAGCGCGGCACATTGCACATTGGCTGCTTGCCTGACTTGTCTTCATAATAGCTTAAGCCATTTAAACCAATTTGGCCGCAAGAAAAAGTATAATTGAGTGAAAATTGGCAGCCGACGTCGACCATTGTGGCAAGTTTGCCAGCCAACAAAACTATTACACATGCACGAGAGTGTGTGTGAGTGTGTGTGTGTGTGCGTGTGTATGTACTAATGTGCAGCCATGATAGTGTGGCTATGTGGTGTTGCATGTTTACACGCCACTCAACTTTGAAGTACAACTTGGAGCGGCACAAAACAAACAAATTAACAACACTCTTGGACACAATGGCTGCCAGCGAAACGACGACGACGACGACGAAGCTGCCAAGCTTTAGCAATTCAGGCAACCAGCAGCAAGCCATTCAACCATCCAACCATCCAACCAACCTCAATCCAAGCATCAGCAATCCACCCATTCTCCCGCCGACATGCTTCATGCAACGCTCAGCCTTCAAGCAGCCATCCAACAGCTTGCCACGAGCAAAAGTTTGCTCCTTTGCATTGCTGGCGTGCAAATATGCGACTTCCTGCCACTATTTATCTAATTGAATTAACTGAAATTACAAGCAAAACCCGTGCAGACGAAAGTTACACTGATTACTATGAATATTTAGCCAACTTTTTGCATGGAACTTTTTTGTTTTTGATTTTTGAATTTTTTGTTTCAAGGCTATTGGTTACATAGCCAACCAATATGTGCATGCTGCGCTTCATACTGCCCCTGCTGTGGCATATGAAATTAATAAAGCTAAAAATGATGACTTTTATGCCTCGGCCCCTGTTGCCCGCCACCGTTATGCGAAAAATTCGTCATTGTGGCAACTTTGTCGTGCGCATTTTTCAACTCTTTCACCAGCTAGGTGTGTGCTGGTGTTATGCAACGCGCTGCACTTTTTGCTTGCCGTTATCTGCTGGCGCGTTGTCAACACCGCACCGCGCACACCGCGCCAGCTTAGCGTGATGATTAACTTTGTTAGCTATTTTGGGGTAATTTTTATTCGTTTCTTTGTCGGGCTTGGGCGCTTGGTTGTTGGAAGTTTTCGGTTCGGCTTTTGTGCTTTCCCCGGCTTTCAGCGGCGTTGTCAACAACGTGTGCAAACAAATTTTTAATTAAATTTTCAGTAATTTGTATGCACACACGTTGTATGTGTGTGTGATTTTGCAATGGTTGCCATATGGACAAGCTCGTGGCATGCCACGGTGACGGCAGCAGCAATTGTGACACTTTATAAGGCTGTGCGCTTGAGTGCTGCAACTGTGAAAGTGTTGGTGTTGTTGTTCTTGTTATTGGACATTTTATTACACGTCCCTTTTTTATAGTTGTTGCTATTGTTGTACTTGTATGGGTTATTTGATGTGGCGATACAAAAGCAAACAGCATGCAAAGTGTGCAAATTAATTTTGAGCGCTGCTCCGGAAGCACGGAGGGGGGAAGGGGGGTCGTTGGCGGTTAGATGGCGCAAGAGGGATTTATACATAAGTGAAGTAAAGAAGAGTGATATAACACATTGATTGCGGAATTTGCAATTTCTATGCTAAAAACAAATAAAGCTCGAGGAGCTTTTAAGCGGAGCTTTTTAGCAGTTTTTACATTGTACACATGTATTGGCAGCAATGCCTTTGTAAACTCAATTTTTAGGCCAAACGTTTTAGCTGCGCTCATTTTACGAATATGTGCTTATAAAAAAGCTCCAGGTTACACAAAAGCTCTAGCGCCACAAACATTTATATTGAAGCCTTTTCTCTGGTTGGGGCGTTCTAATAAAATACGGATACGGAAGTTGATGGTAAACAACAATTTAATCAATTTAGACGCTCTAAACTAAGCTTAATGAATAGTCTCTCATCAGAAGAGACCTTTCTGATTATTGTGCTTTGAGATATTTAAATTAAAGCTTCAACAAAGTTGATTTGCTCCACCATACTGGTTTTACTTTAATATAACAAAACTAATATTTCGACTATGGGTGTAATTTATTTTACCTAGTAGAAAGAGAGAGAGTGACAGAGAGAGAGTGAGAGAGAAAAGTCTAAAAATATCATTTACTGCTATGTCGCACGCTCGGTTAGACCCTTCGAAAATTCTAGGCAAACTAGAAGGATCCGAAGTCAAGCTTTCATTCTCAAGACATCATATTTCAATACTTTAGCGTATATAGCACATCTATTTGAATTAAGCTTGACCGGATAGTTGTATACTGACTCAACCAAAGCTATAATACTTGAAGCTAGATACTTCTTTAAATAAGAATTTTTTTGTATAGAGTCTATTTAAATTACGTTTGATCGCAAAATATCACACTTAATTAGATAAGCTTCAAAGAATAGCAATTGGTTACAAAGATAATTAAAAGCTCTCATTTTTGAGTCTTGATATTTACTTCGCAAACTTTTTAGCGAGTCATTTAGAAAAGCTTCAAAGCTCTATAGGACTAGAGATTGCTCAAAGCTTACAAAGCTTATCAAAAGCTCTCACTACTGATGTTAAATACTTTACTATTTCTGGGTTTCTTTATAGACAGGTTTAATTAAGCTTGACCGCTTCAGCGCTTCAAACTGTATTAAAAGAGCTTCAAAGCACTATAGTATTAGAAATCGCTTAGAGCTTGCAAATTTCAAAAATAACTATCATATTAAAAGAAACAAAGGATTTGTGAATACAAAAGTGGGTCGAAAAATTATAAGGTTAAAAGGTTAGAGCTGTATATGCATGTGATCTAAAATTCACTAGATTTAGTTGGAAATCTTTATCAGCTTTTTTTTATAGAATTTTTGAAGAACATACGACAAATAAATAGGAAGGAATAGATTGGAAAGTAGTATGTATACAGATTATTACTGTACTATATTTTCTTATTATGCTCCGAAAAGGGTATATTAAGTTTGACAAAATTTCTTCGACAGAAGTTAGTCTCGAAAATTCTACAAAGGATACATATGTATATAAAAAGGACCGTAGATATAGCACCGTGACGCGGAGATGAGAACTACCCGATCTCCCTCATCTATTCTCAGTGTCCGTCTGTCCCTCACTTTTAGCCTTGTTTTCAACAGCGCGCCAGTCTTTCGCTCCATTCGCTGTTTGGCGACAATTGGAGATTCCAAGTGTAGTCATGTCTTTGTCCACCTGGTCTTTTCAACGGAGCGCTTCCGCCGGCGGGTACTGCATCTAATGCTCTCAGAGCTGGAGTGTTTCATTCATTCCGACTCATCAGATGTTGTCACCGGCGCTGCAGCTCGAACTATTTTATCTATCAATAGACTGGGGAAGTCGCACGGTAGGATTGGCCTTTGTCTGAAACGTAGCCTAGGCCTATCGAACGGCTCGGAGTCCTTCTCGATCTTGACGGAGCTTTTGGTATTGCACATATTACATATTACACAGCCGTATCAATTTTGCAGGGATACCAAATTCAGACATCGCGGCTTAAAGGCAGCTCCTTTTCATGCTGTCAAAAGCAGCTTTGAAATCGACAATAGACTGGTGTGTGTTGATTCTCTTTTGACGGGTCTTTTCCAAGATTTGGTGCATGACAATCAGTTGTTGATTGTCCAGTTGGTCAGTTGTTAGTTGTTAGTTGTCCAGGTCTAAAGCCAGACTGATACGGTCCAATCACTTTGTTGACAAAGTAATCTTTCACGAAAGCTCGATAGAGCTTTATATGCGCTGTTGAGGACACTGATGCCACGCTAGTTGGCGCAAATTGTGGGGTCCCGCTTTTTGTGAATTGTTATATATTCTACGAAGAAGCTGATTCAGATCGGACTACTATATCATTTAGCCACCATACAATATATACGATATAAAACTATCTCACTTAGGATTGGGGTGTAAATTTAAGCCAATTTTTGTATCTAATATTTTAATTGAAACTTTCACCATTGGTATAGACTTAAACTTAACTTTAATAGTCATAACTTGCATAAAGAAAACACAAAAAATACGAAATTTAATATTAAATAGTCATTTCACTTCGCAAAATATGTTAAACTGTGCTTAAAGTAAATAGTCTGGATTGATGAGAGTTAATAAGGACTCATCAACAGGCATTTACTTCAATCGCAGTTCAAACAAAAAGCTACAAACGAAAGCCAAATATTAGAAAAAAGTGATTGTGAACAACGAAAGTGTACATTGCCGCCCCAAAAGTAAAAGAACATAAGAAATAAGAGAATAACACAGAAAAAAGAAAAAAAACTCGAATGCGTAAGATACGACGGTGCAACCTATTAATTATTTGTTTTCAATTTAAGTTAACCTTTTCAATAAACGCATAATGAACCTCTACCAATTATTTACCCTCAAAACTAACATTGCTCTCTTTTTCTCCCCTCTCTCTCCCATTTGCTAATACTCACGCACGCATAGTACGCCAAGAGAGTGAACGCCTACTCAAGGAGTCGCTGGATCGTGCGCGCTCCAACAAAAACGCAACGGAAGCAGCGGCGCATTTAGCATTACAACAAATTCCATAACATAACGGCGATTCAGCGGAGCGTAGTAGAAAATTCGAGTTTCCACCACAACTGTTGCGTCACCAGCAACCGCCATTACAACAGACACAAGCGCAGCAACTGCAACTGCAACAACAAAAAGATGAACAGCAGCAGCTACAAAACGATGGCGCAGTGCTCGATTACGTGAACGGTGGACTCATGCACTACTTGGCACGCTTCGCTGAAGAGAAGCCAAAAATCGACGACGACAACAAAAACAATGAAGTAAAAGAGGGCAGCAGTAGAGCTGCTGCTAAGAACGACATATACAGCGGTGCAGCAGCAACAACAACATTTACAGCAGCATCCACATCGCTGGCGGGTTACGCGAATCGCGCAGAAGCGATCTACGAGCCGGCCAACACAAAAGCGCGAACAGTCGAGAATTTGCTAATAACGAGGGGTATAAGGAGACGCAGTGTTGCAGCGATGCAGAGTGCAACGTTGGAGGGTACAGCAACAGGCACTACAAAGCCGGCCAGCATGCATGCGCCGCATACACTTGCCACACAATTTGCAACGCAGCAGCAGCAATTGCAGCTAGATGCGCCGCAGCAACGGGCGGCATTGCCAGCACAGCTGTCGGTTTCAATGTTCGCACAAATTTTGTAGCATCGCACACCGTTAGCGTGCGCCAATCTATCGGCTGGGCAGCGATTTTGGTGCGCCACGCCGTCTCTGTTTCTGTTGCTGTCGCTTGCTTGGCGCAAAACATGGACCAAGGCACAGCAATTAACGAGTCAGCTCTGTTGCAAGGTGTACATAGTCGCTAAAAACAACAATAACCACTGTTATACGTGCAACATCGTTGCAGTTATGCGTTCAATTGCTGAAGCTGTAATGGTACAAAACTACAAAGTCAAACGAGCTTTGAATCCAAGGCACTTTTCAGCACACTAAATGGAAGCTTCCATATTTGCTTAGACCTTATGACAGTCAATCTGCGCATCCGGCGACGAAATTGTAAAAACTATTAGATAAGCGTTCGTGCACTGTTGTTATTGTATTGATGGTTAGCGAAAGTCCCCGATGTAAACGGGGTTTGCATATTAAAAAAAACGAGTGTTTTAAATATAAGCTTTTGGAAAAGCGAGCATAGTTTGACATTTCGCGGTGGTTGAGTGGTAGTACTTTAAAAATAAATATAATTTTTTTTTAATATAAACAGTGTTGGAGCCAGAAAATAATTCTTTTCAAATTTTGTTTTCGAAAAATATTAAGTTTAAGGCGAATTAACTCAGTAATTTCGTTTGCTTTACTGATAAGAATATCTGTGTGGGAAGTACAAAGAAAAAAAATTTGTTTTTGTAAATATTTTAGTTTTCACAAAACCAAAACACGAAATAAATCGGCATTTTAAGTTTCTATCGACGAAAATCAACAAGCGAGCAATGAATTTATGAAACCGTGAAAAAATTTCTCAACCTTACTGAGTTTGGAACAGTAGCACGATAGGCCGAGAATTAAGCGTATTTGGAACATGAAAAGCCTTTTTTTTTTCAAAAAATATACAAAATAAAAGCTTATAGGTCACAGGAATAGTGAGAAAACACCAAACAATTTTTTTATAATTTGAGTTTAAGCTCGACAAATTACAATTGCGTAAGGAGACTGTTTTATCACAAGATTTAGGCAAACGACAAATCAATAAATTAAAACTTTCAAGGAAAATTATAATAATCTCAACTGAAAATTTTGAAAAAATGCTCACATCAACAGGTACAGTTTTAAAAACATCACTTCAGCGGAATACAGACAACGTAGCGGTAAATTATGCTGACGCGCAACTGCTGTAATGATATTTATTTTCACTTTACTTTTACCATCACTCGTCCGATTATTTTTTCTATTATTCACCAAGCACAAGCTCTCTTCGAATACCGTACGCGTTTGTAAATATTGCATAATTAATTGTATGTGTATATTTCTTGTGAATATGACTCACCCCCAAAAAATGGAATGCTACCAATCAAACACCTGCAACCTCCAAGAATCGTTACCCTCAACCGCCGTCTTATGTCCCCGTATGAGTACCTACCTGCAATAAAAAGATTGTGTTATGATATTAGCAATGTTATTGTAAATAGATATGAAATAAATTATAAAATGCAAATGTTTAAAGTTGAGCATGGCAATTTGCCTGAGAGCTAATGCAAGCAGATTGTTTTATTGGGCCAAACGAGCAAACTATAACTTTTACCTACTCACTTGTATGAGTAGGTAAATAACTGATTATTAACAATTATGTAAAACAAATTAGTATCCTAAGTAGCAGTTTATCTGCCAAAAAATTTGTGTATAATTATGTAACGTAAAATTTGTAATATGTATAAAAACAAAGGAAAATCGAATTTTTTAAGTGCTAAAGGTAGTTGAAAGCAGTAGTATGAAAATTATAAAAAAGTTATTAAATGTAATAATTGAAATAAATAAAAATAACAATAATAATAAAAATCAGATAACAAAAATAAAACTTAATTAACACAAAAATAACTAACTGATGAAAACACAGGGAATATGCTACGTAAAATTCAATAAAATACGTATTACCTGTACTCTAAATAAAAAATATAAATACGATATTCAATAGTTGTAGTTATGTATGTATGTAAGTAATTGCAGTAAAACGTTTATCATTAACAATAATTAGCGGTAACATTGCATAACGAACATAAAACGTAACAAGCGCCTAGCAAAATATAAAAAAAAATAAAAATATTAATGTGCGTATATACATACATACATATGTACAAATGTGCATACAAATTATGTACAATGAAGGAACCGCTGCACTTTCAAGTTTCGACTACCTATTTTATACACTTCTTTACACTGTGACATTAATTTGAAATTGCAATTGTCAAATTCTCATTAAACCATGCAAATATTACATTTGTATCCACCCAATTAATATAAGACTTCCAAGACGCTGCCCCTTACCTTTCGCACAACCGATGTGGCATTGGAATTATTTTGCAGCAGAAATAAAGAGTTTTTTAAACGGATGCTCTTCGACGGTAATCTTCGGTTTAAGGTTACATTTTAGCAACTTTTAGGTATAGATAGCCCACTTTCACTAGCGATTAACAATTGTGAAATGCAAATTCTTCCAAGCAGCGAATAGTAAACACACAAAACATAACGGCTGTATTTAAACACACAAGCACTTTGCTTTTATTGTTTAAAAACCTAAACACTACACACTTATAAAGCAAACCCGCACAGATTTTATTAAACAAATCAAAAATTTGCATTAACCGACGCCGAAATACGATCAAAAGGAAATGATGAATATCGCCAAAATCAGCTGTTGGTTGTAGCAATGCATTTGCTGCATAAAAGCACCCTGTGAGGATACCGTTATACACAGGAAGTGCCCAAATATCAGACAATTAGTTTATTAAGGACAGTTAAAACTTGAAAGTGTAGGGTTTGACTAAAATGTTGACAAAATTTTATAACTTTAGCGTAAAAAATTATTTAAAAGTTTTGGTGTGCGTTTTTACTTGTATAGTAGCTTAGTATAATTCCGTTAATAACTATTATTGTTGCAAATATAGTACAATGAAATTTGTATAATCGAATGCAAATATGAAAAAGTGAAATTGAAAAAAAAACTATTTTATTATCGGGGTGGCTCAGTATATTATCATTTTTAATGTACGATTATTTTATTATAATTTTTTT